TTCTTTAACTGACATTCAATGTTTCGTTACCCGGCCTGTTCCGTGTATTAGATTTCAAACATTTTACAACGGAGAAAGTGCTTTCATAAATAAAGCGCTCCCGCACATCGATAACATGCCGTTTTAGATTATATTCTTTATCACTGACACAGCTTGCTGACATACCAAGCATCGAGGTTTTATTTTCCGCAAGCAAGTACTTTTTTCTCATATCGAATTAAAATTCTGTTTGAATTGGTCAGATTTCCCTTCGAACTCACGTTTACAAAGCGACTTACAAATCACTGCAGATTGATCGATTAATAAATTAGGGCAATTGTGAAGAAGGCTACAGCAGGATAATATTCCGACATAAATTGATATTTACTAAATTTTCTGACATATAGGCACCACTTTTAGTGTTACCAGCTCTTTTATGAATGTTTCCAGGGTAGAGTGTTCATAAAGAGATTTTATCGATATATAATATTGGCCCTCACAGATGTATTAATTGAGGTAAAAATACTTAAATAATTACTGATTAAAAATAAACAAACCTGGTAAAGATATATTGACTTTGTAACAAAAGTGGACTTCATGGACACCCCTATAATATACATGATAGAAAATCTGCCTATAAAACTAGAGGCTCCATTACCGCTTATTGTTTCACGTTAGGCAACCACATGCCATGGACTATGGTTACTTGTGATTCCAAATTCTATCTTTGAACACTCAAAGTAGTATACTAGAGTTGTTGATGAATGAATGCGCGGGAAACGCAAAACTTACCAGTAGATTTTGAATATCGTATGTCCATTGAATATTTTCATATACTTAGGGCCTCCTATTACATTGTGCTACAGGACAGTATTGCCCAACCTATGTGTCGTGAGCCAAGGCTGGGTCGCCTGAAAATTCTTTTGGCTCGCTTGTTTTTCCAACAAAAACCAATTTTAATATATTCTGTATTTGGTATTAAAGTGTTGCACAATCTAATTGTATATGGGGGAAGTATCGCAGCGTAAAAACTTTGAAGCGTCTATTTTACATAGGTAAAGCCATGATTGAAAAAAATCGCTGATGGCAAACAAATAATAATGAAATATATAATAAGGAAATAAATGTTGGGTAAAAATCACTGTTTTGCATTAGTGACGTCTAGTATCGGGGCGTATCCCTGGTTCGTGAGATTTTTAATTTTTTACAAAATTTGCTACAGGCGGGCAATCTCATTCTATTATTGATATTAGCCCGTTGCTAATTTACACTACAATTTTTTAACTTTCAACTAACTATGCTATCTAGTTAATCAATTGTATTATTTCTAATTACTGATTAAAAATAAACAAACCTGGTATTGAGAACTGACTCTGACAAAAGTGAACTCCATGGACACCCCGTATAATATAAATGATAGAAAATCTGCATATAAATTAGAGGCTCCATTACAGCTTATTTCTTCACGTTAGGCAACCACTCGCCAATAGCAATGGGTACTTGCGATCCCAAATTCTGTCTTTAAACACTCGAACTAGTAAACTAGAGTTATTCGTGAATGCGTGAAGCGCAAGAGTCACCAGTAAACATTGAATATCTTCATATGATCGAGGCCTCCTAATATTTTTTGCTATAGACCAGTTTTTTTAAACCTATGGATTGCTGGGTCATCTGAAACATTTGGCTCGGTTTTTTTTTTTTTAACAAATATCTAAAGATTGATTTTATTTTCAGTAAATTTTCATTTATTTTGGTATTTAGTGTTGCTGAATAGTAATTGTATATGTGGAATGTATCGCAGCGTAAAATCTTTAAAGTGCTATTTTGCTTAATTAAAGCCATAATTTCAAAAATCGAAGATGGCCAAAAATTAATAATAAGATATAATAAAATATATCATAAGAAACTAATGTTTAGTAAAAATTTCTGTTTTGTATTAGTGCCGTTTAGTATCTAGGCCTGGGTGTATCCATGAATCCCGATATTTTACGAAATTTGCTATAGGCAATCTTATTCTATTAGTGATAGCCTGTTGCAAATTTAAACTACAATGTTTTAATTTACTATGCTTTCTAATTATTCAATTGTTCTATTTTATTACAGCGCCAAGTGAGTACAGTTTTACTTGTATTCTTCTATTTCAAAATTACTAACTTACCTCAATGCAAACTGCGACTCGGATAGATTTTGTTAACACTCATTGTAGTATATTATCTAGTTATTTATATATTCTATGTGCCCATTTATAAATTGTTGTTTAAGGCAGTCGCATTCAATGAAGGATGTCAGTACCGCTTCAAATTGTTTTTTTCAAACACTTAATATAGTACAATATTTATTTATTCAATTATACTATTCCTATCTATATTACAGGGAAATGTGAGTACAGTTTTATTATTATTCTGCTATTCCAAAAGTATAAATTTTTTTAAATATAATTCTGTTTATTATGAATCGAACATCTTATCAAAACCAAATTTCCCGTCTTATGCATCTATCCTCAAACCCTTCCAAAATGACATTTCCACTATGATCGTGAATCAATTTATGAAAACAATCAAAACTTATAAATATTTCTATTCTTGCTAGAAAGGTTCATTTACTTCTTTCTATTTCACCATTTGAAACTACAACGTAAAAAATTCATTCCTATATTTCTGTTAATTAATATTACATTACGGGAGCGTAACCGGCTGTTTCATGAATGCATAGGGCGTCCATAATGTCTTGAAGTTTTTTAATTGCAAGGGGAATTTATCAATACCATATATTGTTTTGATCCTCAAAGTGTATTGAATTCGGTAAAAATACCTAAACAATTATTCAATAAAAAACAACAAACCTGGTTAAGATTTATTGACAACTGACTTCGTAACAAAAGTGAACTTCATGAACAGCCTGCATAATATATATGATAGAAAATATGAATATAAAATTAGAGGCTCCATTACCACTTATTGCTTTAAGATAGGCAACCCCATGCCATGAACAATGAGTACTTGCGATTCCAAATTCCATTTTTTAAAACTCAATCTAGTATACCAGAGTTATTCATGAATGAATTCGTAAAACGCAGGAATCACCAGTAGACACCTAATATCTTATGTACAATGAATATTTTCATATACTTGGGGCCTCCTATTACATTGTGCTACAGGCCAGAGTTGCCCAACCTATGGGTCGCGAGCCAAGGCTGGGTCGCCTGAAAATTCTTTTGACTCGCTTCTTTTTCCAACAAGGACCAATTTTAATATATTTTGTATTGAAGTGCACAATGTAATTGTATATGGGGAAGTATTGCAGCGTAAAAACTTTGAAGCGTCTGTTTTACATAAGTAAAGCCATGATTCAAAAAAATCGCTGATGGCAAACAAATAATAATGAACTGTATAATACGGAAATAAATGTTGAGTAAAAATCACTGTTTCGCATTAGTGCCGTTTAGTATCCGGGCGTATCCCTGGTTTGTGAAGTTTTTTATTTTTCACAAAATTCGCCATAGGCGGGCAGTCTCATTCTATTATTGATAGCCCGTTGCTAATTTATACTGTGCAATCTTTTAACTTTCAACTTACTATGCTATCTAGTTAATGAATTGTACTATTTCTATTTTATTACAGCGCCAAATGAGTACAGTTTTACTGATATTCTGCTATTTCAAAATTACCAATTTGCTCCGATGAAAACTGCGACTCAGATAGATTTTTTCAACATTCCTTGATTTAGTTCAGGGTGGTCCAAGGTTGTCGGCGTCGAGGGCCACAATATTAATTTTGTGCTGTACGCGGGCCACATTATTTTCAAGACATTTGATCATTATTTATGATTAATCAATGTTTTTATAACAACACTTATGTTGGTCCTTGAGTACTTTTTTTCTCATATCGAGCTAAAATTCTGTTTGAATTGGTCAGATTTCCTGCGGAACTCACGTTTACAAAGCGACTTACAAATTAGAGGCTCCGCTTATTATTACCGCTTATTGTTTCACGTTAGGCCACCACATGCCATAGACCAGCGTTTCCCAAACTTTTTCGGCCACGGAACATTTAGATTTTTTATCTCGCCTCGCGGAACACCAAAAAATGGAAAGCTAAAATTGATAAAGAAAAACGGTGTAATGTAGCGGTTCCCAATGGGTTCGCTAGTATATATTTACGGTTAAACCGTAAGTGCTGCAATTTCGCGAGCTGCAGTTTATTTATCTGCTGAATTGAATTTAACGACATGAGTAATTTTTCAGCATTTCATAGTAAAGCCAGGCAAAGACAGAGGAAGAAGAGTTGACCTTTTGCCTTTATTCTTTAGACCCACTTGTTTGCTTATAACAAAACCAAAAGGATTGCTGTACTTAACAGTCAAAAAGCTACGCCGACAGTTAACGAAAATGCCACTACTCTACCTTAGTTAGTCCGCTTTAGGCCGACGATGACGCGAAATTGAACGGTCAGTTGGGCGACAACTTCACGATCCCTAGATCGCAATGGCGACATTTTTGATTCCTTCTCCACGGAACACTCGGAAGACGCTCGCGGAACACAGTTTGGGAAACGCTGCCATAGACTATGAAAACTTGTGATTCCAAATTCTATCTTTGAACACTCAATATATTATTAATGTAAATATAATCAGAAATTACATAGTTACACTCCGCAGTATTCAGTTGCTCTTACAGTACTTGTAAACAATATTAGAGATTGATAATGTGAGCGAAACTGCTCAACATGTCTAATTACTTATCACGTCATCATTCACTTAGTCTTAACACAATATTTCTTTATCTTTGTTGTTTACAGATCTTCGTAAGTACAATAATCCTTGAATCTTTATTTTTTGTCATTTTGATCGACTACATTATTTCTTTATCTTTGTTATTTACCGGGCTTCCTATAGGTAAGTACAATTGTCCTCGGATCTTCAACTTTGAAAATTTAGGTTTAGAAATTGCACAAAATAAATTAATTTGAGCAAATCAATAATTTTATCCGAGAAAATTTCTAATATGTAGGCCAACTGATTATCTTTGTAATGTTTTGTAATTTGAGTATTAGGGTATTTTCAATTAAATTGAATATTTATTCTTCATAAAATAAACAAATTTCCATCTTATGTATTACTTCTAAAGTTTTTCACCTTGTAAAATAAGCTTCATTTTTTGATATCCGACAATTACTATGCTGATATTTCGTTGCTCAGATAAACTAGATGACGAAGCTTCAACGAACAAGAGCGCAGAAAGGCAATATGGAGAAAAAGTGAAAGGTAAGAAAAACGTTACATTTAACAAATATATTTATCTATACAAAACTCCCCAAAATGTGACTTTTTGATAACATACATTATTCATGTATTTACTTACACTAGACTTCATTAAAATATCCAGCAGTTAATTACTATATCTTTGCTCTTCAGATAACGTATTTGACAAAGTTTCAAGCGCCAAGAGCGCAGAAGGCCGGTATGAGGAGAAAGTGAAAGGTACGATATCCCTTAAATTAAATTGCTTGAATTAGAAAATTCTCGAACAAGCAACATTCCTGCATAATGGAAAGAGCTAATAATTTAGATGAGACACATATTAATTTCGCTTTATTTAAAATTCTTTAGATAGTACAATAGGTTAAATTTAACTTACTTGAGATCTTCGTTTTGGAACACGCGTCTACTCAGTGCAAGATAATAAAGCTTAGGAAAATATTCCATTCTGAAAAATCGTTTACTTTGAAAAATAAATGAAGCCTCTACCATTACAAAAGTTTAAAATGCGTCTTTTAAATTTGACTCTGAGCAAAACTTTCAAACTATTTCAAATTTAAAGATACGGGAACTGATCCGACCGTAAAATTAGTATAAAAAAGAAACTCATTCCTCGGATGTATATATAGGTTTCAGTAACATACAAAATAGACGCATACAAAATTAGTTAAACATTTCCATGGATATATTTATTCTCAGAATGACGTTCCTTTAAAATAATTTAATACAAGCATTAAAATATTTAATTAAAAATTTTACTTTAGAGCAGTCTTCACTTTTTCTTACATTAGTGATAAATAATATTAAAGATTAATAATGTGAGGCAACCAACTGCCTCGAATGTTCAGTTACTTATCACGCGACCATTCATCGACTACATTATTTCTTTATCTTTGTTATTTACAGGGCTTCTTAAAGGTGAGTACAATTGTCCTCGGATCTTCAACTTTGAAAAATTAGGTTTAGAAATTGCACCAAATAAATTAATTTGAGCAAATCAATAATTTCATCCGAGGAAATTTCTAATATGTAGGCCAACTCATTATCTTTGTAATGTTTTAGAATATGAGTATTAGGTTTTTTTTTAATTAATTAAATTGAATATTTATTTTTCATAAAATAAACAAATTTCCATCTTATGTATTACTTCAAATGTTTTTCACCTTGTAACATAAGCTTCATTTTTTGATATCCGACAATTACTCTGATATTTCGTTGCTCAGATAAATTAGATGACGAAGCTTCAACGAACAAGAGCGCAGAAAAGCAATATGGAGAAAAAGTGAAAGGTAAGAAGAACGTTACATTTAACAAATATATTTATCTATACAAAACTCCCCAAAAAGTGACTTTCTGATTACATACATTATTCATGTAACTACTTACACTAGACTTCATTAAAATATCCAGCAGTTAATTACTATATCTTTGCTCTTCAGATAACGTATTTGACAAAGTTTCAAGCGCCAAGAGGGCAAAAGGCCGGTATGAGGAGAAAGTGACAGAGGAAGAAGAGTTGACCTTTTGCCTTTATTCTTTAGACCCACTTGTTTGCTTATAACAAAACCAAAAGGATTGCTGTACTTAACAGTCAAAAAGCTACGCCGACAGTTAACGAAAATGCCACTACTCTACCTTAGTTAGTCCGCTTTAGGCCGACGATGACGCGAAATTGAACGGTCAGTTGGGCGACAACTTCACGATCCCTAGATCGCAATGGCGACATTTTTGATTCCTTCTCCACGGAACACTCGGAAGACGCTCGCGGAACACAGTTTGGGAAACGCTGCCATAGACTATGAAAACTTGTGATTCCAAATTCTATCTTTGAACACTCAATATATTATTAATGTAAATATAATCAGAAATTACATAGTTACACTCCGCAGTATTCAGTTGCTCTTACAGTACTTGTAAACAATATTAGAGATTGATAATGTGAGCGAAACTGCTCAACATGTCTAATTACTTATCACGTCATCATTCACTTAGTCTTAACACAATATTTCTTTATCTTTGTTGTTTACAGATCTTCGTAAGTACAATAATCCTTGAATCTTTATTTTTTGTCATTTTGATCGACTACATTATTTCTTTATCTTTGTTATTTACCGGGCTTCCTATAGGTAAGTACAATTGTCCTCGGATCTTCAACTTTGAAAATTTAGGTTTAGAAATTGCACAAAATAAATTAATTTGAGCAAATCAATAATTTTATCCGAGAAAATTTCTAATATGTAGGCCAACTGATTATCTTTGTAATGTTTTGTAATTTGAGTATTAGGGTATTTTCAATTAAATTGAATATTTATTCTTCATAAAATAAACAAATTTCCATCTTATGTATTACTTCTAAAGTTTTTCACCTTGTAAAATAAGCTTCATTTTTTGATATCCGACAATTACTATGCTGATATTTCGTTGCTCAGATAAACTAGATGACGAAGCTTCAACGAACAAGAGCGCAGAAAGGCAATATGGAGAAAAAGTGAAAGGTAAGAAAAACGTTACATTTAACAAATATATTTATCTATACAAAACTCCCCAAAATGTGACTTTTTGATAACATACATTATTCATGTATTTACTTACACTAGACTTCATTAAAATATCCAGCAGTTAATTACTATATCTTTGCTCTTCAGATAACGTATTTGACAAAGTTTCAAGCGCCAAGAGCGCAGAAGGCCGGTATGAGGAGAAAGTGAAAGGTACGATATCCCTTAAATTAAATTGCTTGAATTAGAAAATTCTCGAACAAGCAACATTCCTGCATAATGGAAAGAGCTAATAATTTAGATGAGACACATATTAATTTCGCTTTATTTAAAATTCTTTAGATAGTACAATAGGTTAAATTTAACTTACTTGAGATCTTCGTTTTGGAACACGCGTCTACTCAGTGCAAGATAATAAAGCTTAGGAAAATATTCCATTCTGAAAAATCGTTTACTTTGAAAAATAAATGAAGCCTCTATCATTACAAAAGTTTAAAATGCGTCTTTTAAATTTGACTCTGAGCAAAACTTTCAAACTATTTCAAATTTAAAGATACGGGAACTGATCCGACCGTAAAATTAGTATAAAAAAGAAACTCATTCCTCGGATGTATATATAGGTTTCAGTAACATACAAAATAGACGCATACAAAATTAGTTAAACATTTCCATGGATATATTTATTCTCAGAATGACGTTCCTTTAAAATAATTTAATACAAGCATTAAAATATTTAATTAAAAATTTTACTTTAGAGCAGTCTTCACTTTTTCTTACATTAGTGATAAATAATATTAAAGATTAATAATGTGAGGCAACCAACTGCCTCGAATGTTCAGTTACTTATCACGCGACCATTCATCGACTACATTATTTCTTTATCTTTGTTATTTACAGGGCTTCTTAAAGGTGAGTACAATTGTCCTCGGATCTTCAACTTTGAAAAATTAGGTTTAGAAATTGCACCAAATAAATTAATTTGAGCAAATCAATAATTTCATCCGAGGAAATTTCTAATATGTAGGCCAACTCATTATCTTTGTAATGTTTTAGAATATGAGTATTAGGTTTTTTTTTCAATTAAATTGAATATTTATTTTTCATAAAATAAACAAATTTCCATCTTATGTATTACTTCAAATGTTTTTCACCTTGTAACATAAGCTTCATTTTTTGATATCCGACAATTACTCTGATATTTCGTTGCTCAGATAAATTAGATGACGAAGCTTCAACGAACAAGAGCGCAGAAAAGCAATATGGAGAAAAAGTGAAAGGTATGAACCTAATTACTATATCTTTGCTCTTCAGATAACGTATTTGACAAAGTTTCAAGCGCCAAGAGGGCAAAAGGCCGGTATGAGGAGAAAGTGAAAGGTAGGATGTCCCTTAAATTAAGTAAAATTGCTTGAATTAGCAAAATTCTCAAACAAGCAACATGCCTGCATAATGGAAAATGCTAAGAATTTAGATGAGGCACATATTAATTTCGCTTTATCTAAAATTCTTCAGATAGGACAATAGGTTAAATTTAACTTACTTGAGATCTTTGTTTTGGAACACGCGTCTACTCAGTGCAAGATAATAAAGCTTAGGAAAATATTCCATTCTGAAAAACCGTTTACTTTGAAAAATAAATGAAGCCTCTACCATTACAAAAGTTTAAAATGCGTCTTGCAAATTTGACTCTGAGCAAAACTTTCAAACTATTTCAAATTTAAAGATACGGGAACTGATCCGACCGTAAAATTAGTATAAAAAAGAAACTCATTCCTCGGATGTATATATAGGTTTCAGTAACATACAAAATAGACGCATACAAAATTAGTTAAACATTTCCATGGATATATTTATTCTCAGAATGACGTTCCTTTAAAATAATTTAATACGAGCATTAAAATAATTAATTAAAAATTTTATTTTAAAGCAGTCTTCACTTTTTCTTACATTAGTGATAAATAATATTAAAGATTAATAATGTGAGGCAACCAACTGCCTCGAATGTTCAGTTACTTATCACGCGACCATTCATCGACTACATTATTTCTTTATCTTTGTTATTTACAGGGCTTCTTAAAGGTGAGTACAATTGTCCTCGGATCTTCAACTTTGAAAATTTAGGTTTAGAAATTGCACCAAATAAATTAATTTGAGCAAATCAATAATTTCATCCGAGAAAATTTCTAATATGTAGGCCAACTCATTATCTTTGTAATGTTTTAGAATATGAGTATTAGGTTTTTTTTCAATTAAATTGAATATTTATTTTTCATAAAATAAACAAATTTCCATCTTATGTATTACTTCAAAAGTTTTTCACCTTGTAAAATAAGCTTCATTTTTTGATATCCGACAATTACTATGCTGACATTTCGTTGCTCAGATAAACTAGATGACGAAGCTTCAACGAACAAGAGCGCAGAAAGGCAATATGGAGAAAAAGTGAAAGGTAAGAAGAACGTTATATTTAACAAATATATTTATCTATACAAAACTCCCCAAAAGGTGACTTTCTGATTACATACATTATTCGTGTATTTTCTTACACTAGACTTCATTAAAATATCCAGCAGTTAATTACTATATCTTTGCTCTTCAGATAACGTATTTGACGAAGCTTCAAGCGCCAAGAGCGCAGAAGGCCGGTATGAGGAAAAAGTGAAAGGTAGGATGTCCCTTAATTAATTGCCCTTAATTAAATTGCTTGAATTCTCAAATTCTCAAACAAGTAACATTTCTGCATAATGGAAAGTGCTAGGAATTTAGATGAGACACATATTAATTTCGCTTTATCTAAAATTCTTTAGATAGGACAATATGTTAAATTTACCTTACTTGAGATCTTCGTTTTGGAACACGCGTCTACTCAGTGCAAGATAATAAAGCTTAGGAAAATATTCCATTCTGAAAAACCGTTTACTTTGAAAAATAAATAAATGAAGCCTCTCCCATTACAAATTCTTATTCAATCTTTTTTTTCACTTTCCCACAGATAATGACGAGTTGGAGGAAGTTTTCCGCGTATTGATTCGTCTCATTCCTGATAAATCTGAATGGAAAGCCTTCGTCAATGATGGATTGAAAATGCTGAAGTGGGAAGAAAGTGAGACCAAAGGGGAGAAAATGAAAGATCTCAGAAGATGGAAACGGGTTAAAGGTTGTACGATAAAATACATTCTAGGGATGAGGTGTAGCATGTTCTCTTTTGTACCTACATGGGGGTCGAGTCGGAGTATGCTGAAATACATCCGAGGAATGAGTTTCTTTTTTATACTAATTTTACGGTCGGATCCGTTCCCGTATCTTTAAATTTGTAGTAGTTTGAAAATTTTGCTCAGAGTCAAATTTTAAACTTTTTAAATTGAATTTGGTCATAGATGGAAATTTGCCAAGAAGTTTTATAAAATAAATTAAGTATGAACATCTCATATGTAAATTTTTTTATTGTCAACTCATAACTCCTTGTAAAATGCGTACAATGATATAATTTTTGTCCTTTCCTTTCATCGCATTCCTATTATTGGACACGTTTAGTGGACATAACGATCGTTTTGTTGTTATGTTGTTCTTTGACACGTTTTGAAGAAATCGCTTTTCTCTTTGATTATTGGACCAATTGCTTTGAAATTTTTAGTGCTTGAAGATACAAATTTTTTTCAGAAGGCTATGTCTTTTTTTCTGCTATGACGTCATCTAAATTATTGCCATTAGGTGGCGCTACGTGTCCATATATTTGAGCATAGATCTCTTGTTTATAATTAGGAAGGAAAGCGACACCGGACAATTTGTGTCTTATTATCCGCGAGCATTTCAAGAACGATTCCAGCATTGTACGAGGTAGGCATAATAACAATGATTAGCTTGTTTATACGGAACGTTCTACAACTTGGTGTTTTTTGTAACACAAGTCAATAACATTCATTGCGCCCAAAATAGGTTTTCAATTCTCTTTAAATGATTTAATTTAGAAATTATAACTCAAAGATTATACAACACTAGTAGCATGTCCCGTAGTTCGAAAATTGAAAAGAAATTTTATCAAAAACTAGCAGAAATATCTTAAATGTTATGGATAGAATTTTAGGATTTAAATTGGTTGTGAACTTTAGTTCTTTAAAAAAGTCAACACAAAATTTTTATCGGTACTGACGCTTTCTAGAATCCAGTTTGAGTTTCTAAATTGAAGTAAATCTTATAGGATTACAAAGGACTTAGTACATAGCGCTTCCACTTTTGAAAGATCGGTGTGTATGATTAACGAGCTTTACTATTTATTTAGCAATGTCATCTGGCTTTGGAGCACTTTCTGATGGGATTAACAAGATTTCGGATGCGATAAACAATATAAACATCCGTCCTCAAGACAAAACAAGTAAGTGTTTGCTCTACGAACAAGTAAATAAACTGCGGAAAACGTATGTGTGTATAGTTTTCACCAGAGAATGTATGGTACTCCCGTAGTATGTGTACCAGTTTAGGGTATATTTTTATTCCGATTTTTTTTATTTTAGTTCTACTTCAAGTTCGGGTACTATCTGGGTTAGCCAAGTTAATATACCCCCTGTCTATAGGTTTCAGTACTTTTGCAAAACTTGATGTAAAGTAGGCAAACAAAATTAGTTACCTCCATATTGGTACACACACTTCTGGAGCGCCTGATTTAGAGACTTTTATATACAAACAAATTGAAAGTCTTTACTATATTCAATTTACAATTCTTATCATATTATGAAATTATACTTTACCCAACTGGCATTTGATAGCATTATTGATTCAGTACTCATTACTTTCAGCCAACTTACAATCAGTGGAAGGGCGTACCGTGATAATTGGTGCTGGAAACGTCCAATATCGCTATTATGGCGAATCTAAATAAATCAAATAGATCTGTGGTGTGATGTTACGTCCTCACGAATCTTTGAATTAATTATTTGCTCACAATTATTCCCTTCTTTCAAATCAACTTATATACTCTCTTGTAAATCAATTTATTCTAAATCTTTAAATACCACCAAGATCCCAATGTATATATACCGTTCTATGTCGAACCCTTCAAGTCTTCCGTCAATCGGTATTTACTGTAACTGCGAATTATCTCTACAACTTTTTAACGTTTCAGTAGCTCTTGGCACTTCAGTGGTTTCCATAACTTCGCTCAGTTTATTATGATTCTGAGTGAGTGTGCGTGTTCTTGCTCTGAGCACATTTCATTTATTAAAAACTGTTAAAAATATCGTTAACCTAATAGAATTTTCAATTTAGGTTTTTAAAATCAATTTACTGAGGTGTTTAGTAAGATTTATGTTTTTCTGGTTCAATTGTATATTGAAGGATTTATTCTTATCATTGATAAGAATGATACCTATTTGTTAACTATTCTCAATTGTATTCCTAATTTTTTATATTAGCGAATAAAATTTTTGTAGCACCTGCATCAAGCTTACGCGTGGTGAAAATATTTTTATCATAATGGGGCATGGTGCTCGCAGGTGGATGAGGCTGATAAAGGAACGCAAGTCCTTTTCCGAAGTCAATCCTTCTTCTCAAGTCCAAATGATTTAGTCAAGGTTAGGGCTGTCCAAGCAAACCAAATATTCGAAATCGAATCACAAATTATTCGAATCGTTTTTCGGCTAATTTCTGAATCACTAAAATTAGGTACGTTTTTCATCGGACAATTGGCGGCGTATCGAGCTTAGAACTCTCCCGATATTTCTCTCGCCTTCATTTTGTGATAAACAACATGTCATTCCTAATGCCCGCCCGGTGGCACGTGATTAGCCATTTCATGCATGGTCATCATAACTTAAAAGTTATAATCGGTAATGACGTTTTTGAGAGAGTACACAAGGAGAAAAAGGCAAATTAGAAAACGATAGTTCTATAAATAGAATCGATTTAAAGATGTTGAGTTAGTTATCATGGAACATGGTACAGGCAACTCAAAGCTGAAACAGGTGTTTTGGGATCCATATGATGGCAATACCTTCTTTCAATGGAATTTGTAATTTCTTATGATGACAATACTGTATTATCCATCTATCTACCAAGACAAATAATTGCACTCTTGAATTTTGATTGCATATTATAGTCATCAAATAGTATTGTCATCAAACTAGCTTCGAATTTGTTAAATGCAATTTTGAATTTGAGCAACAGTTTTATCTATATTAATGGTTGTTATTATTTTGCTGAAAATTACACAAAAAAACATAAGACTAATGAAGAGGATCAGAATAGTATTTACAGGCTTTACATGTCCTATTAAAACTGAATCCATTAGAATTGAGATTTCAATTTTTGAATTGTGCAATTTTTACTTTTAACACTCAATAGTTTTCGAGACCCAAATTTGGATTCCTCCAATTTTTTTGACCAGTTCATGCAAGCGTGTGATCACCTTTCACAAATTTGAAAACATTATATTGCAAAATACCAGCAGTATGTAAGATGTAACTGCACATACGTTAACATCGGAGAGCAGACGGTTATTGTATAATAGAGACAGTGTTAGGATTGCGCAATAATATTCGATTATTCGGTTCGATTCGGCAAAAATATTCGATTCGAATCAAAAAATTATTCGAATTTTGACAGCGCTAGTAAGGTATTTGAAATCGTTGGCATTTTTCGTTTTCCCCATATTATGCGACTAGTTGTGATTTCAATTGCTAAACATTTATTTAATTGCTCACTTGTGGCGCTCCTGCGTTACTCTCATGGCACTATGACATTCATTTTCAATGCTCCTACCTGTAAATGAGGAATTAGTCCGGCAGAATGGGGCCTTAACATTGTTTTGGGACATAACGTTTTTTTTATTGTTCAGATATAATGTCGATGACATAAATGATGATGCCAAGGTGGGTGTGGAGTATATAATGTTGAGCAATTTTTTCTAAGTGGATTTTAAGTATTCGTACCAAGATGACGCACATCCTGAACCCTAACCTGATTCACATACCATGTTCAGGTTGTGCACCATCTTGGTACAAATACTTCGGGAGCATTCATTTGTTGAAAACAATTATTTCATAACTACAAGGGATAGTTTTGAATACATAGTAACATTGAATCTTCTTACAATTTCAGAAATTCAATTTTAGTAGAATAAATGGTAGTTTATTTCAATAATATGGGCCAAGATCCATCGACAGCATCTAGCCACTTTCTTTTGCGCTCTTCAAATTACATTTGTGTTCCGCGGGCATTTCGTTTTCCTGCTAAAGCTTAGGGACTTGAAAAATATTTTATTAGTTAAAATGAATTGGAATATTCGATTTCGTCTTATACTCCGAACAAGGCCATGTAAAACATCCACTGGTATCTAACGATGTGTAACGGGTTTCTTATGGAAGAACCGGAACCTTTCAGGTGCAGCATTGACTTTGGCCAAATTAATATATCCTTGTGGAGATAGAATGTATGATCACTGTACATCGCACACATTTTCCTGCGTGCTTCGGTTGTACGTAGTTTACATTTTAGCGCACATGCATCAAATTCCACTTGTTTATTGAGCTATAGGTTTTTGACAAGTTTTTGTGTATGATTTCATACCATAGAATTTGTATGCTGTTCTAAAGAATACTAGTTTCAGCTTTTTCATTCATTCAACCCGCGTGTTGGAAGTAAGTTTTGTAATATTGCGTGTTGGTTTTCAACTGGTTTATTTATATCCATCACTTGACATCGCGTTCACTACCAGTTTATATGAGTGCCAATTGGTATCTAAGCTCAGCCAGAGACAAAAAGTTTCGGACTGCGGTTGGCGTGACGAAATGTTTTTAAATATATATTCTACAATAAGATTATTTGATTGCATATTACTGGAAGTTACGCCTTGTATGTCTATTCCCATTGCACTATTCCTTTACTGATATTCGATAATATGACGCTCATCTGACATATTTTCTCAAGTGTGTAGATAGGTATAATCTTTTCAACGCTGTTCAGATGGGATGCGCGAATATATCTAAGAATCGCTAATATTGGTTCTGCCTCTCGCAATTGCTGCGTATATTTATCGGAGAAGTTCTGTGGCGTGGTTATCAAATGAAGAAAACATGGGAGTATTTTTTCTACTTCTCTACTACTCTCAAACCTTGACATTCAACCTTTTTTTGAAACATCCCCAACAACCACATTTAATTTTGTCATTAACCTTCCAAAACAAACACATAAAATCATCAACAGATGCATATCCCCAAGTCCTAAGTAGATATTGCTGAATTGATCTTTATTTTACCATTTTTCATGTAATGCTTTTTGGTAAACCTGTTATCTATCGTAAATACAGCACATTTGACTATGTTGTAGTGTAACTTTTTTGGCCCCCCTTTCCTGATATTTGAAGTTACATCTGTTGGGGCTCTGTCAAACAAAGTTACATACAAAATATAGTCTGTAAATTGCAAAACATGATCATGTTGTTGGAACAACCTGGCATTTTACCACCCGTATATCATTCATTGTCCAGAATATTAATGAAATCATAAAATCTAAAACCCGATTTCGTGATTTTTTTGTTGTAGCTGATTTTGTTGTAGCTGAATTCGAGGGATAGCATGACAACTGGCAAGAGAAGCACGATCGCCTCTTTTAGTCTATGACAAGGTTTCTTGAAAGGAGACCCCGGTCTTCCTGGAGGTCACTGATCGGTTATCTGTGTGCACGAACAAACAGATGGAAATGCGAATATATAATAACAATGTATTTTTATAGAAAAGAAGAAGCAATAGTGTTGAGAGTCTTTGGTAGTTTGAAAAGCATTGGCATGGAACATAAGTAAGTAAGTACTACATTCTTTCCCAGGGATATACTATAAAATGTAGCAATTTTCTCATTCTTCTTCATGTGATAGCATCATCTTTCACTTGCTAACAAATAATTGACTGTTCTCCACCGGGTGTATATCCACTTGAACCACTGCATTAGCAGGCTATTATTGTTAGTTGCAACAACAGCGGGTATTTTGAAATAGTACTCTTTATTTTACGCGTATGTTTCGACAATATTTCCATATACTGTATATGGGTCGCGACCCAAAGCTGGGCTCAATAAATACCTAAAAGTTATTGATTTTATTTCCTAGTAAATTTGGTGCTTGCGTAGTTTGTGCCCAAGATTGCGCACAACCTGAACATAGTATTGTAACAGGTTATGATTCAGGTTGTGCGTCATTATGGAGCACATGTTTGACGAAAAATACTAATACAAATATCAAGCCGTAAAACAAATTACTCAAGGCTGCAAACTCCACACCCATGTAGAACCGATGGGCAATGACCCCAGAATGAATAATCACAAATAATCTCAAAAACGCCCCTTGTCTGCAGGACTAAATCACTATTCTAGAATAGCAATGGACAAGAATAAGATCAAAGTTTGAAGTGTCAAAGGGGTTCTCTCATCGAAGAGAGGTCATATTGTAGTGAAACATAACGCATAGCAGGTAATTTGAAAAGAAATACACGAACCCATACTGGAGAGAGACCATATTGTATTTTCGTGAAATTTCTAGGAAGAGCTTTACAAGAGAATGTCGTTTGAATAGGCATAGACAAACTAATACTCGGGTCAGGCCATATTCTTGTGAAACACGTGGAGAGAACTTTTTGAGAATGATAGTTTGATAAGGCATACACAAATTCATTAATGGGTAAAGCTGTATTCTTGCGAACCATGTGGAAAGAGGTTTTCGAGAGCAAGTCATTTGAAAATAACATACACAAACTCATAGCTGTACTGTGGTAAAACATGAAGCAAGTATACAAACTCATCTCAAAGAGTGGCCGTATTATGGTGATACATGAAGCAACGGCTTTGCGATATCAGGTAATTCGAAGAGAAATACACCAACTCCTACTAGGGATGGGCTGTATTCCTCTGAAACTTCTATGAAGAGCCTCGCGAGGGCCTGTAATTTGAATAGACATAAACAAACCCACACACGGCAAGGCTATATTCTTGAGAAACATGCGCAAAGAGTTCTTCGAGAGCATGCAGCAGCAGACATACGCAAAATTTATAGAAGAAAAAAGCCATAGTCGTGTGAATTATGTGAAAAGATGTTTTCAAGAGCAAAGCATACAGAAACTCATACCGAAGAGAAGCCGTACTATGGTGAAACATGGGACAAGAGCTTCGCGATAGGTTGTCATTTGAAAAAAATAAACAAAAATTTTCAGGAGGTGAAAGCCATAGTTTTGTGAATTACGCAGGAAGTGGATTTCAAGAGCTAGCCATTTGAAAAAGCATACATAAACTCATAGGCTGTATTTTTGTAAAAAAATCCGAAGTCTTTTTGAGAGCGCGAAATTTGAAAAGGCTTACACGAATTCATAGTAAGGGAAATCCAAATTTTTGTGAAATATGGGTAAAGAGCTTTACGACAGC